TTCGTATTAAAAGAAATTAATTGTAATACATCATGCAGTTAATTAATCATTTGCTGTGCTCGGAAGGATTCTAAATGATTTATAGCACAAAATTGAAAGTCTCTTGATCATTAATTGATAACACAAATAACAACAGATTTTCGTGGTTATTTCCTCGATAGAGCATTGGTCTTTACCTGCCATGGATATGGAGAGTATTGTTCACGCTACGAGAGGCTTGGAAATGCTTTAGCTGAACAAGGCTACCTCGCCTTCAGTCAAGATCACGGTATGTCCCACCCCTCCCAAGTTTAATCTCTTCCGCAATACAGTAACTGCATTTAATCATACTTTCTCGGGAAGAGGGGGGAGGGGGAGTCTAATCTAAAACTACTAGAAATACGGCTATTTCAGAACCTCGTGAGCTCGGAAAAGGTGGCCCGTAAAATGTTAGGGATTGGAGGGAGGGAGAGAGACATAATACAAAACTGGACCACTATTTTTGGAATTCGGCAATTTATAATGGTAATTGAACTGTGTGGAGTGCAATTTGGTCTGAAATCATACGCGTGATTTCAAAATCGAACGAGCGCGCAACGCGAGTTCGATTTGAAATCATGAGTATGATTTCAGACCAAAATTGCACGACACGAAGTTCAATTACCACTTTATTACTTCCATTTTGAAATCGCAGAATTTAGTCAGTACTAATATTTCATTGATCAAGTAGCCGGTTGTTAAAAAGCCGAAACAAAAAGGCTTTTACATCTCATTTTGTATTCCAAACAGAAATGATGCGATATAGAACGAAAATGGTACGATTTAAAACAGAAATGACGCGATTTAGAACATGAATGACGCGATTTGGAACAGATGCCATATTGAGCAAAAAATGGTGCGGTTTAGGAATAAATCACACCGCTACGAGCCAATCAGATTGCACGGATAGCCAGTGATTTCCAAGTGGATGTAATAAATGATGTTATGGTCTCTTGGTGAATAGTGTGATATAACCCTTCAAGAGCTAATTTTTGACATTAAATCTTTCTGTTAGTTGGTCATGGTCAGAGTGAAGAGAAAGAGCCCAAATATCAGATTTTTCCTTTTACGTCAGAGATGTTTTTAAACACATTGACCAAGTCTCAGCAGACAATGCAGGCATACCAATATTTCTGTTTGGCCACTCAATGTTATGTACTGTTATAAAAACGTTATTGGAACTCTGCCCCTTTTTTCGTTTTGTTTTGCTTGTTTGTTTGTTTTTTAAGGTATAGATGATAGGTTCTCGGGTCCCCTAACCCCGTCGATCACAGGAATACAAGTATATGTTAATTACGATAAAGACCCCAAGCCCATCATGCTTTGCGGTTGTTTCGTAATGTCGCGCTCTTGCCGGTTTGTTTTGATAACATAGATAGCCTGTAAATTTCAGGTTTTCTTATTTTTAACCCTTTCCAAGTCTGGCTTCAATGCAGTTAAATCACATGTTACGAAAACACTGATACAGTCGAACCTCCATATGGGACCCCCTCTCGTAAACAACTACCTCTTTTAAAAGATTTCCCATTGTTTTTAACCTCCTAAAAAGCGACCCCTTAACGATTTGTCTGAACTCTTATGTTTGCTGTATGCTGCTAGGAGTATACGAAGAACTTAAGTAACAACATGTAACTGAGAAAGAAATCGGTGCAGTAAATTATATGCTTTAAAGTAGATGTGCCCGGAAATCTACTCCAAGGAAGTGTCCTAAGCGACCACCTTCTGTAAGTGACCACAAAGTCTTAGCCTTTACAGTGGTTTAACTGCACCTTGAAAATTTCATGTTATGATATTATTACATGTAATATTATGCATTATTCTTTTTAGAGCGGTACAAAGCTGTTCTCAGTGTTATGGGAAGACCTTATTTCTTTGCGGGTGCTATTTTTAGTGCACCAAGCATAAAAGTGGATGCCAATCCTTGCACGGTAATTTATTGCTCCACTTGCTACAAATAATAAACGAAAACACAATACAAAGACTGTTTCTCTTTTCTTAGGGTGCCGTCAATGCAAAAAAAGGATACAGCAAACCCAAAACAGAAAAACACAACCAGAAAACAGAAATACAAATCCCAAAACAGAAATAAACATCCCAAAGCGGAAACACGTACAAAAAAATACAAAACTGAACCACAAAACTGAAAAAGAATTTAAAAATACAAACCATGTTCAAAAACCCCAAAACAGAAACAAAGGAAATAATGTAAAACAATAGTTTCTCATGATTCATCGTCTTTTAATTATCTTAACCCGCGATTAGGCGGTTTTTTTTTTATAGGGAGGGCATGATCACAGGCTGTAATAGCCCATTTCCGGTACAGTTAAACGGGCAACAAATTGCTGCAGAACGAGTCCAAAAGCGATGCTGCGCGTTTTATTGCGCATAAATCAAACCTGTCTTGTAGCAAATAAGATTCACTGTTGCAAGTTGCGTAAATACTGACTCCTGATTGGGTAAAATTACGCGGGAGTCACGCCATACACAGGAGTTACGTCACTTGCTGCAAAACAAGTTTGCCTTGGGTCGGTAATTAAAACGCGCAACATTGACAGATTTTGATGCAAAAAGTAGAACTTCTCTCTAGTTTCTGCAACAACTTTTTCGCAACTTGTTTAAACCTGATTTGCTGCAAGGGAGGCTTCATCTGTGGGTAGTAAAATGCGCAACAACACTTTTCAACTAGTTTGNGAAAAAGAATTTAAAAATACAAACCATGTTCAAAAACCCCAAAACAGAAACAAAGGAAATAATGTAAAACAATAGTTTCTCATGATTCATCGTCTTTTAATTATCTTAACCCGCGATTAGGCGGTTTTTTTTTTATAGGGAGGGCATGATCACAGGCTGTAATAGCCCATTTCCGGTACAGTTAAACGGGCAACAAATTGCTGCAGAACGAGTCCAAAAGCGATGCTGCGCGTTTTATTGCGCATAAATCAAACCTGTCTTGTAGCAAATAAGATTCACTGTTGCAAGTTGCGTAAATACTGACTCCTGATTGGGTAAAATTACGCGGGAGTCACGCCATACACAGGAGTTACGTCACTTGCTGCAAAACAAGTTTGCCTTGGGTCGGTAATTAAAACGCGCAACATTGACAGATTTTGATGCAAAAAGTAGAACTTCTCTCTAGTTTCTGCAACAACTTTTTCGCAACTTGTTTAAACCTGATTTGCTGCAAGGGAGGCTTCATCTGTGGGTAGTAAAATGCGCAACAACACTTTTCAACTAGTTTGCCAACAATTTTGCAAAACAGGTTTCACGTTTTTGTTGTCCGTTTTACTTAATGCAGAGTGAGATAAAACAGTTTTTAGATGTGAAATATTTGCAGTGGTAGCAGTTTTTTTATAGCCAATTCACATGTTGTTTAAACATAAATATCTGATTAATCACTAGTCGAAACGAACTTTTTACAAAGTTCTAGTGGCGGAGGGAAGGGAATATGATGATTATTTTAATAGGAGATTATTTTATCACGAGTCAAGTTTTTAACCTTGTCTTCTAGGGGGAGGTGCGAAATTAATACAGTAGTGATTGTTCCATATATAAAAACGCAAAAAGAAACAAAACGAACTTGGCCAAAACTCAGCTATCTGGACCTCACGCTTGGTTATTAAAAGAGACCTTTAGATTCGAGGGCGAGAACTACTAGGAGTACGACTTTCGCTCTTCTCAAAAAGAAAAATAGACACCAGGAAAGCTCCACTGTACTTTTGATTCACCAGAAAAGTTAGCACTGTTACTTATTGAAGGAGTTTAAGACCTCTCCCGACCGAAAATAATAAAACTTAGCTTCTAACATTTGATAAGTTGTTTTCGCCACAACGACATTTTCGGCAAAACTCGTAGTAGAATGACGACGGCTACGTTTTCCCGCCAAAATGACGCTGGTTCATGCGCGCGCACTGCTTAGCATTAAGAAAATCTCGTATTCGTAGTCGTCCTCGTCTTAAAAACTAAAGGTCTCAAATTACGTATATAATACATGTATCTTACAGGTTTGTGTAGGAAGAATAGTATCATGGATAATGCCCTCGTACCAGATTAGAATTAGGCCACCGATTGATCCGTCAGTCTTAAGCCAGGATCCTACACAGATGATACAAAACTACAGGGAAACTCAGCCGAGTTTACTTTCGCAAAGAGTTCTGGGATTGTTACTACGGACAGAGAAAAAGATTGGCCAATAGTCGACCGGCGTGACCCCAGTAACAATCCCAGAAACAATCGCGGGTCAAATTTCTGGTCCAATAAAATCCCTTTCTCGTTTCTAAAAAGGCGAATAACACAACTGAAAACTGCTCTCTTTTCCTGAGTCAAAGGAGAGAGTCTTTCGTATTCATTTTATCCGCATTTCCGAAAAAAATTTCCATGACTTTCGAACAATGCCGAACATTTTCTGGTGATTTCTGGAGGTTGCCGAATGACGCGGTGTCCAGTCCCTCAAACCGATCGCGAAACTTGACATTTCGTACCACTGACTGGAAATATTTTGGGTGGAGACTTTTTCAGTTTAATGGTTAATGACAAGTCGTTCGGAATTGTGAGTCAGGAATTGATGTTTTCCATCCTTCATGATTGTGCAATGAACTAGTGATATTGGTGGCCGGCGGGTTTGTCGAGGGTTATTCTGTCCTGTTCAATTAATTAGCCCTAAGATTATACCCCCGGTGGAAGTGGGGGGGGGGGGGGCTACTCAACAATGTTTTATACGGGAAGGTTCCACCCCTAGGCCTGAATCCTTACACGTTTATCGTTCCGAGGAGCTCGTCGTGTTTGTTTAGGGTTGGAGCCTCCCCGTATAAATTTCAATGTCACTCAATTCTTTGCACCATCCATTTAATAACCATAAATCTTACAGAAAGTCGAATCTCCTTGAGTACCGGGTATCCCTCGCGCCTTCTTGCTTTCGCGGTCGGCTTGTGGCAAGTCTAGGACTTCAATAACACAATGCACCTTGTTTATTACTATTGTTTTAGGTTGAAAAGTATGCCAATGATAGCCTAAACTGGCATGAGGGAATGAAAGTTAGATGGGTGGGAGCTATATTAGACGCAATGAATGAAATCCAGGGGAACTTGTCAAGGCTTACAGCACCTTATCTACTTGTCCATGGTGATGGAGATCAATTAGTGAAGATTGACGGTTCACGTTACTTACATGAGAATTCTCCCAGTGACGACAAGACATTTAAGGTACACGAATGAGCTGCTTTGCTGACGGCATTGAGCAAACTAATAGCCTCTCTATGGGTATTTCCGACGAATAGTTAGGGCGCTTGACGGTATATCATAAGGGCAGGAAGAAGCAGTCTTAGATCGGCGTTTGTTCCTGCGCGGGGTAGGAGTTTCGGCCGCTTTGTTCCAAGCGTAATTATTGAAGTGTGAACTAATCCCAACAACAGTCGTGATTTGTCTAAACCCTTTAAACCCCAAGAGTGAACAAGGGAAAAGGTTATGAGAATTTATAAAATAATCACCAAAGAGGAAATTCTTGTCTCCAAACGGGTGTCTAAAGAATAATATAGAGTTTTCCCTCTTCGTCCAATTTTCCGTCCCGTTGTCATTTTTAAATCTAGCTATTATTATTTCATTATAAACTCAACTGCGTGTAAAACTTGCTTTGCAGGTGTACAAAAATGGACGCCATGAACTGTTGAATGAGGTGGAAGAAACTGCGAGCGTGGTTTACAAGGACATTCTTGACTGGATTCAGCAAAAGCTACCTTGAACTGTTTTAGGGCCACGTGCACACGAATCCAGACTAATTTTTGAAACTGCATAACTTTTCACCGGGATTCGTGTAGACGAGGACTTAAACCACTCCGGAGAGCGGTTTCAAAAAGATATTAGGCTGACTTAGCAATAGAACGGGAACGTCAGTTGACGACGACGCGCGCAAATCAAACAACTGGCTTGACCAATCGCAGAGCAGCAAATTGAGCACCGGAAGTCGCGTTCAGTCCTTTCCGCGCGCTTTACCGTCGTCAACTGATGTTCTCGTTCTGTTGCTAAATCAGCCTAATGTTTCGGTGAGAGGATTCACTGGTTTCGCGCGTGAACGGAGTACCAGACGGAATGCCGATACATGTGAAAAATATAGATAAATGCGCTTTTGAAAATATCCGGATTTGTATGGACGAGGCTTTTCACGATAGTATCAATCTACAAATATGACCAGAATCATTTCGTTTTTTTTTAATTTCTTTCATATTTAGTTCAGTAAATTCAGAAACCTTAATTTGCATGAGAAAGCCAAATTCTGTGGGCTTCTAAAAACGGCCGTTTGCACGGTGACGCCATTTTACTATACCAGATTCCCTCAGGGTTTTGCTTTCTTGCGCAAGTTAGGGCTTTTGTTATTTAAACCTCGGAGGGATTACCAGATTTAAATATAAAAGAAAAAATGACATGAATTCCTTTAGTAGCAAAAACATGTCATCGCGTAAATAGCCAATTAGGCCCCCTGGCCCCAGTAGCCTTGCAGCAGTTCAGAATAGACCCCTGTGTGTCGCAGTTCTTTTGTTTTCGGGCTAGGTTCCAAACTTTGTTTGTTCATATTTTTCCCCGCCAATAACGTGAGGTCTTCCAAGAACTGCAAGGTCGCCCCTTATATGAAGAAAGTCGCCCCGAGTAGAAGAGTCACTCGCCTACCCCAGCTACCCTGGGCGAGCCAACATTTGCTACATTTCCTTACCGAAACTTGGCGTTTAATTACACTAAAAAACAAATGGTGGGCTCGGCTAGAGCCCTTTTTCGATGGTAAGGTCACCTCTCTAGCTAAGCCAACTTTTCTCCAAGAAAACACTTGGCTTGCACAGCCAGGTCAACTCGGTTAGGGCGAGATAATCAGAGCATGCGCAAGCGCTGTTTTCAGCTCTAGGCTTGCGCAAAGGGGTCAACTGTTTCTCATTTAAACACTTGCTTAAGTTGACTGGGGCTGGGAGGGTGACCCCGGGAAAATTTTTCTCTACATAAACAGGGCCTCATTCGCATGTTTTCTTGATATAGGTTCAATAAACAAAATAATAACTCTGCATGTGCATTATACGTTTTTATAAATTTATTCGCCGTCTCTACGTTATGAGAGGACATAGGCACCCGAAGACAAATTTCTTTTTCTCTATTTGCACTATGATGTCAGTGCTCCCTAAAAATTCATTTCCACCGAAAAATCGCGTACATTTGACCAACTTAGCCAGTTAAGATAACCGTCACAAATTTTAAAAGTATACCAAATAGCTTTTTAAATGACGTTTTCGCTACCGTCGCCTCCCTAATGTCGGGGGCATTAAATCTCGAGCAACTGACGATCAGTCAGGGTCAATCTCTGTATTTTAACGCCATATGTTAGTAGTTATAGGTCTCACGTTAGGTTGTCTGCTTTGGACTACAAAAGGTACCAGGACGATCGAGAAACGTGCCCCACGTGGTTTTGACTCCGGCGGGCTAAAATTGACCGGAGACCGAAAAAACCGGTCACCTGGAGCGAAAGGCGACGGGGAGAAGAGATAGGCTGGGAACGAGATTGATTTACAGTTTGATGTTCCTAGATAATAATAACCTGCGATCATGCTCTCCCTGAAAAACCGTAAAACGCCTGTTCAAAACAAAAAAGACGATGAAACATGAGAAAGTATAGCTTTACACTATTTGCTTGTTTCTGTTTTCGTCTTTTGTGGCTATGGTTTATTTGTATTTTTGGATTCTGTTTCAGTTTTGCGATTTAATTCTATACTTTTATGTGTGCCTTTCCGGTTGGGGATGCTTATTTCCGTATTGGGATTTGTGTTTCTGTTTTCTGGTAGTGATTTTCTGTTTTGGGTTTCCGTTTTGTCTATGTGTTTCTGTTTTGGGTTTGTTCTCTCCTATTTTTGTTGTTGTTGTTGTTGTTGTCTTGTGGTTTTTTGTTTCTATCAGCCACCCTATATATTTGATAGACCTCTGCATTTAAATCCAACCACTGGAGAACACTGGACAAAACTCCGTCGAAAATTTCTTCACAGATATCAAATCGTTCAGGTAAGAAATAATCTCCTCTAACTTGGAATTTTCCTAAGCAGATATTTCTGCAAGGTTCATTTTTGCTGTAGTTTTTTTTCCCTCTCTTTTTTACTTAGAAATAATTAATAACTTGAATAAGTTTAGACCGGTTGGCGACCGAGAAGCAAAGTATGTTTGTTCCATGTTAAGCAAAACGTCCGACAAGAATATTGTTTTGACCGATTTGTGTTTCTCTCCCTTCGTTGTCTCCCTTGTACGCTTCTCTCTTCCACTTTCTTTCCACCCCCCCTCCCCCAAAACAAAACCCACCCCTACCCCTCCTCACACAAGCAATGCCGGATATTCAGCATAATTTGTGTTAAATGTGGATCTCTCATGTTGTAGACGTCACAGATTTATAATAATTTTCATTTTTATTACAATAGCTAACAAAGACAGACCTGCTTTGTGCATAAATTTGTGAAGCTAAGTCTTGCATCGATTAATAAGAAATTGAGGTCACGAACTTATTTAGTCGAGACATCTTTCCTCAAACGGCCGCCTTTTAAATTTTTCAATGTTCATTGGGACTATGTGAATTGTACTGCCAGAAAGGTTTTCAGGAAAATTACTATTTATAAATTAAATCGCTTTTATTTCTGCTCTATGTACGGCAAACAATTTCAAATTTGTTGTGGTTTTCTAGTTTGTGGTCTCTCTGAAATTTGCATGTAATGTTATTGTCGCCGGGCAGCGGACTCATTTTTTGAACTTTGACTTATTATTATAAAAACACTAAACAATAAAAAACGTAAGAAGGATCAATTAAAACACGCGACTAATAAACGCTCAAAATAAAACCAGACACGAGATACCGTTTTAAAAACATTATTTTTAAAAGGAATGAAAAATTAATCCTCTTCTTCGTTGTCCTCTTTAGAGGGAGAATAAAAATTGGTTTACAACGTCTTCGCTTTTTTGTGTGTAATTGCTCCACAATTGTGACACCGAAGAAAGCCCTCTTTGATTTAATTTCTCTCCTCGGGGATCTGGTGATCGCATATCGGACAAATCTTGTAGTAATCGTGCCAAAAGCAGTTAGGACATTTCATGATCAATGTTCAGTACACTTTAGAATTCTCACAATGTTCACAGGGATTTTTAGAGTGAAAGGTGGTGGACGTTTCAAGGCTACTACTTTATGTTTCCTGACTGTGGTCGTTTTTCAGTGTCGTTGTAGCTCTCTTGGGAGTCAACTTCAACGCCATTCTCAGAAGCCACTTCCTCCTCCTCCTCCTCATCCTTCCCCTCCTAATTTTAAATATCCAATGAACCGTCCTCATTATTACTCTCGTTATCGGAAGTATTTTCTGCATTTTGCTAGCCTTTTTCCTTTTCTATTGAATCGCTTAGCAACTTTTTGCTCTTGGTTAAACCTTTATCGACTCCTAACTCTGCAAGTCCATCTAGAAACGTATTCAGCGCACGAGGCTTGGTAACGTTATTGTTATGTGGGGGTAACACATACTCAATTAGCTCGGCGATGTTTGTGACAGGAATTATACGTTTATTTCGAAGTAATTGTCCACGGGGAGTCCAGAAATATTGTCTTATAACACCAGTTCAGAAACTGTCAAAAAAATTCCGGAGAAGCGTCAGTTAGAGTAAATCAAGGATGGAAGGAGTGGAAAGTTCTGTTATGTCTTATCTGTCTAATGGGAACATACATTGTATTCTAAGACTTCAAATGTATTAATGAAAATTATTTTTGTTTTACTCCACCTCAACGCTCCTCAAAGAGACCTTACTGCCAAGAAACAGTTCCACTTTGAATAGTAAAACTTGGAAATGGCAGAAAGAATACTACAGTATATAGATGAACAAAACAAGCCTCTTACAATAGCGCAAATCAATAAAAACACCGAAGAGAAAGCAGAAGTCTACCACAATCTAGGCAGAGCTTGTTACTCCCTCGAGGACTTCCATCAAGTAATAGAGTACCACAATCAACACCTCAGGATTGCCAAGGAAGTTGGTGACAGGGCAGGTGAAGGATGTGCCTATGGCAATCTCGGCGTCACTTATCACAGCCTTGAAGAATTCCAACGAGCAATAGAGTACCACAATCAAAACCTCAGCATTGCCAAGGAAGTTGGTGACAGGGCAGGGCAAGGCAAAGCCTATAACAATCTCGGCGCTACTTATCACAGCCTTAATGAATTCCAAAGAGCAATAGAGTACACCAATAAATACCTCAGCATTGCCAAGGAAGTTGGGGACAGGGCAGGGCAAGGCAAAGCCTATGCCAATCTCGGCCTTGCTTATCACAGCCTTAATGAATTCCAAAGAGCAATAGAGTACAACAATAAATACCTCATCATTGCCAAGGAAGTTGGTGACAGGGCAGGGCAAGGCAAAGCCTATGCCAATCTCGGTCTTGCTTATCACAGCCTTGCTGAATTCCAAAGAGCAATAGAGTACAACAATATACACCTCATCATTGCCAAGGAAGTTGGTGACAGAGTAGGGCAAGGACTAAGCTATGGCAATCTCGGCAATATTTATTTCCTTCTCGGCGAAAACCAACGAGCAATAGAGTACACCAATAAATACCTCATCATTGCCAAGGAAGTTGGTAACAGGGCAATGGAAGGCAAAGCCTATTCCGATCTCGGCGCTACTTATCACAGCCTTAATGAATTCAGACGAGCAATGGAGTGCCACGAGAAACACCTGAGCATTGCCAAGGAAGTCGGTGACAGAAAAGAAAAAGGACGTGCCTATTTACACATCGGCCTCGTTCATGAATCCCTCGGCGACGTGCCACGAGCAATGGAGTACTACAAGCAATCCCTGAGCAATGCCGAGGAAATCGGTGACAGTTTTGGACAAGGAAGGGCCTGTTGCCGCCTCGGAAGTTGTTATAGAGAACTCCACGACTTGAAGGAAGCAATAGAGTGTTACAAGCAACACCTGAGCATTGCCGAGGAAATCGGTGACAGGATGGCAGAAGCATGTGCCCATACCAAACTGGGTCAATCTTTTTTGTATTCAGATTCTTTGAATGAGGCTTTAGAACATTTTAGATGCAGTGTAAAAGTCTATGACACTATTAGAGCCAATTCTATCTCGGAAGATCAATTGAAAATAAGTTTCTGTACGAAACATCAATTTGCCTATACTCATTTATGGCAAGTTTTAGTAATGCTTGAAAGGAATGATGAGGCTTTATACGCTGCTGAGAGGGGACGAGCACAGGCTTTGCTCGATGCCTTAAAAGTAACTTATGGCCTTACATCACTTTCTCCCAGGTCAATTGAATCTGAAGAAGAAGTCAGAAATATTTCAAGGAAGACAACTGTTTTAACAGTTTTTCTTGCCCTTCATTTGAATACAGTCAATATCTGGGTGTTGGGAAAAGAGGGCAACCCTATTTTTAGGCAAGCGGAGATAGAAATTGGTCGTGAACACGAAGATTCCTTTACTCTCCTTTTAGACACTGTTTTGAAAAACATTGACTCAACTCCCTCAAATACTCGAGACGACAATCAAACATCGGAGCCATCACAGGAGAGCACCGACTTTTTACAGCCATTATATGATGCAGTTCTTGGTCCCATTGAAGACTTGCTTGATTGTGACGAAATAATTGTAGTTCCTGATGGCGCTTTGTCTAAAGCTCCTTGGGCAGCCCTGAGTGAAACATTAAGGATCCGGACTGTTCCCTCACTGACAAGTTTGAAAGTCATCACAGATTCTCCAATTGAATACCACAGTAAAAGTGGAGCCCTGCTTGTTGGAGACCCATGCTTGAAGAAAATTACAGATAAACGGGGGAACCCCATTTATGATCCTCTAAAGTACGCAAGAATGGAAGTGGAGATGATTGGAGAAATTCTAGAGAGTCAACCTTTAACAGGTGAAGATGCAACCAAAGAAGCGGTACTTCAGAGAATCGCGTCCGTTGCTTTGGTTCACATCGCAGCCCGAGGAAGGAAGGAGACTGCGGAAATTGTTTTGGCTCCAAACCCCCGAGAAGGATCCAGGCCTCCTACGGAGGAGGACTATATTTTGAAAATGTCTGACATTCAAGCTGTTAGGCTGAGAGCGAGGCTAGTTGTGCTTAGTTTCTGCCACAGTGGTGAAGGAAAGGTCTCGTCTGAGGGTGTGGTCGGTATGGCACGTTCTTTCTTGTTTGCTGGTGCTCGTTCCGTGCTGGCGACAGTCTCGCATATTGATGACGAAGCCACAATGATGTTTATGAAATCTTTCTACCAACAACTTGGAAGTGGAGAAAGTGCAAGTGTTGCTCTTCAGAGGGCCATGAAATGTCTTCGAGACTCCCACGATTTTTCTCCCCCGAAGTACTGGGCTCCATTTGTTCTGATTGGTGATGATGTTAAGATTGAATTGAAGAAAAAACATTGAGGAAATCGTAAGTAGAGAGTTTTTATTACTTTTTTCTTGCTTTTCTTTATTAAGGGTACTAGAAATAGAAATCTGAAGAATAAAAGTCAGAACTATTATTTTCAACTCGAAATGTAAGAACATTGGCAGACTTGATATTACTGGTAAAAAGAGAAATATATCCACAATAAGGATAGGTGTGGTAAGTATGTACCGTTAATGGTTCACACAATCACATGTTATTCCTACCAAGCAAATCGTTTAGAAATCATTCGAACACTAGATAACCCTTAATTTTCTCAATTCTTAATTACTTTAGGGACAATATATATGAAAGATAGATTTGCAATAACCTGCCTTCGTTTTCTTAGAGTACTAGCTCTATATGTTGACCAATAATCAACAGCTTCATGAAAAACAAATATGTGTAGTATGACAAATGTTTCTCACTTTGCTATTTTTCACACCATCATTCAAGGCATTCTTAAATTTACCGCTTTGATCTTAATTTAATTTTAAAAAAAATGTGAATTAATGCCTCAATTGTTACTTTCTTTACAGGGATGAGCTGAAAGTTTGATGGCAACACAACTGCTGAAGTAACGTGTATATATCTGGATTTCCCCAAAAGAAAGAAGTGCGTTATTTAATAGCTGTTGCTAACGGCAAACGTCTGCAGATTCAAGTTGAGAATTTCTCAAAATAGAAAATATGCAGATAAAATGAATACAGGTCAAAGCAATTCTTATGGATAAAACTAACTTGAAATCTATAATTTTTTTGTAGATTTAATTAACAGCAAAAGAGAAGTAAAGGGAACACTTGGTCACGTGGTACAAATCCACGGATTGCCGTAAATGTAACTCTTAATCTCTCTAATTAATAACATCAAAAAAACGTTTTTAAATTAGCCACGGCTACAGTTATCAATTTTAACTTAGGAAAAAGACAAACAATTTTCGTGGGGAAAGAACTGTTTACGCTTATTTCTTTACTCCCGCGAAACTGACTGAGTAGTATTATAGATGATTGCCTCTTTTCTGGTGTAACCTGCCTTAACCGGCAAATTGTAATTTGGCAAAGGAAATCTTAATATTAATGATAATAATAATCACCATCATCATAATCTTAATGATTCCTTTTCGGCTTTTTCCCCTCGGCCTTAAAGCAAATGACTGAAACAAATAATTCAAATTAATTTAACCCGCGGACGTACACGCAAATTCATACCCCAACCGTGGTATAAGGGGGAGGGGCGGATGGAACCCCTCCACAGAGTTTTTGATAATTTGCAGTATTTCGAAACGATTTTGCCTTCAGTGGAAAGCCTTTGATCTACTCAACAAGATGAGGTTTATTTTTAATGGGTGGTGGCGCTGCTGGAGGCCTGTGACGTCACCAACAATGGTCGCCATCTTGGATTTCACCAAGAATTAGAAATCATGTTAAAATCGCGATAAATGGTAATTTTCTGTGCTTCAGAGGTAAAATAACACATAAATAAGCCCTTTGTATCATTTCATTGACAAGTTTTACTTTTATTGTTGAAAAAAGTTGAAAGAACATGCATTTTCACTCAAAAATGGCTTCACAACGTGCTACTTATGACGTCATATGTTGTAACCATAGTAACTGACCATCTTTAAACTTGTCTCAAAATGCGCGCGAGGGATAAACAAACGGTTACTGAAAACGTCAGGTGCTGATGTTTTATCTTCTAAAAATTTTTAAAAAAACGTCAGTGGGTGGGGGGGGCGTTGTACGTCCGAGGGTTAAGAATCCCAAGTACGTCCGAGGGTTAAGAATCCCAAGTCTCCTAACGGGACGGACACGAAACACTTAACTATATATAAGCATGGCCTTGGTTTCAGTAGTGTGATTCAGATTTTAATCAGATAATTTTTAAAATTTTAAGTATGCACTGTAAGCATTTTGAACCGTGATTCTGAACCGCGGGTCACATTTCAGTGGTTTAAGGTCTGAGTTAAAAGGCTGTATTACGTTTTATATGACTGATCCCCGGTTTCCCAGAACCAGTACTATTTTTTTAAAAAAATGAATATGTCCATGTCTTCTTAATCCTTAATGTATAAATTGGTGGACAGTACAAAATGCAGACTGCAGACTGACTGCAGACCATTGTTTTCAGGGTTAGAAAACAATGGGACTCTCAGCGGCTTCATAGCTTAGTTGGTTAGAGCGTCGCACCGGTATCGCGAGGTCACGGGTTCAAATCCCGATGAAGTCCTCATTTTTTTTTTGTTTTCAGGCTTCTTACGCAATTGCATAAATTGCGTTCACAACTGTAAGGATCATTCTTCATTTGATTTCATTCCCGCAGTTCTCATATATGATTTATTTCATATGCATTTGTCAATGGGACTATTGTTGTCACGTTCCCATTTGCATCGTGAAAACAATGTTTTGCACTGAGAGCAGTCTGCAGTCTTCGTTTTGTACTTATGTTATATATTGGGACACACATGGTGTCACTTAATTAAAACTGTTTTTAAATTGAAGTAAAATGGGATTTCATAGACGAGTTTAACTTATATGGATAAATTATTAGCGTTTCATACAAAGAGTAAACTTTTTGCCTTCCACGTTTGGGAATGAATATGCTCGTAGTTTTAACAGTAAGCGGTTTTGGACGATACACTGAATAGCCTGCTCAGAGACAGGAGCGAGTGACCGCTGGCGAATTGGACCGTCTGAGAATCATTAGAGTGATTTTTGCCTTATTTTAATAACCCTGTTTTAGGAAAAGCGTTGCCAGATAGTCCTTCAATGCCTGCAAACAAAGGAAAAAGGGCCCGAAATCTAATTTTCATCCAAAAGCAAGATTTATTTTCCTTCTCTATTTTCTCACCACCACTTCCTTGTAGAGCTGACTCCGCCTCTGTCTCTGCACTCGCAGACTATTTGTTCTGCCATTAAACTAGGTTTAACTCTTAATCTTGTTTCTTAATTACTGCGAGACAATTCAATCATATAAATCGTTTTCGTGTACCATTGCGTTAGTGGTCCAACAGCTATAATTGATGTCAACTTTAAAGTATCCAAACAGTGGAAGAGATGAGATTAAAATTTTGGACGCTCCAGTAACTTAATGATGTTTTGTTGTAATTGTGCTAGGTTGTAAAAGTTGGGCTTTTCATCAAATAGATCAGTTCCAGAACACGTATACAGCAACGCTCTGAGGTTTGGAGCAAGGAAATCACAGCAATCGTTCAAGCTATCATCATTCTATCGAGGATCTGACCTATTTTGCCGCCTCTAGACTGCTTTTCTCTAGGCCATTGACCTTTAGCCATCACTCAGATATTTAAAGAAGCTGCTTTAATTTAGGGATGTCACCATTAGAAAAAAAGGATAGGAAGTTGGGGGAAGGGTAACGCATTAGTAAGAAAAAAATCTCCACACGCACCATGATCAAGAAAGCTGTTCGAGGAGGAAAAATAGATTTCCACCTCAGGGGTAAAGACAAAACTTTCATAGACCTCCCAGAAATCCCACCCAGCCCCTTTACTTTCCTAATGGTTCATCCCTTATAACCAAGAGACTATAAAGGGGACAGAGAGGGCATCCCCCATATACACCCTATTCCATAGGTAATTCGTCTCGAGTTATTTTTAACACCACAGATCTCGAGGGGGATTAGACAACAGCCAATCACATAGCGCGAATGTGTTCCGCGTGGATGACCCACGCTGAGAGCCACGCGTCCTTCACGAAATGACGCAGAACAAAATGGGGGAAGACGCGGAGAGCGATTTTGCTATTCCTTTTGTCGACGAAAACGACTACAGCGAGATTTCTGCGAAAGCTGTGTCAGCGAAACCGAAATTAAAAAAGAATCGCCCTTCCTCTCTTGTATAGAGCTAACAGTAGAGCAGGGAAATCCTTAACACACTGAATATTCTCTCAGGATCATTTATAATTTACAGTTTGAAGAGAGCAATTTCTGGTTTGATGTTTATTTTTTTCAGTCTTTATAGCGATTATTCCTACCCACTTACTTTGTCAATTGTAGGCGAACCCTCCTAAAGCTGAATTTCAAGGGACCATATTCAAGCTCAGAAAGAGAAATAAAATTTCGTCGTTGCTTATTTACGTCCTCCATAAAACGCGAAATTAGGCATTTTCACGTCGTAGTCGTGCAAAAACGGGAAAGAAATGAACAAAAAAGTGTGTTGCACGTGCGAAGTTGTTGTTTTGCTAATTAAACCTATTGTTTTTTTGACGTTCTAGTTGTCGTCCGCGTCGTTGGATCTTAAACTCCCTAAATTGTACAAAGGACCGGTTTCAATAGACCGGCGAAATTTCTCATTTTATTAAAGCACTGAGGTTACGACAACTTCGAGTTAAACTGATTTCACGGGTTGTCAAAGAGTCCAGCGATTCCTTTTTCCCAGGTGAGCGCCGACTCATTTCGCTTCAATATTCAGGAATGCTCTCGATCTTTTTTACGCTTTCATTGCCTCTCGCCCGACATGTTTTGCACGGCGTTTGGTCATGCGAAACCTCCACGAAACATCCACGCCTCGCGCGAGGTAACTTTATCCCGATTCTAAAAATAACTCGAGACGAATCATCTATGGAATAGGGTGTATATGGGTGATGCCCTCTCTGTCCCCTTTATAGTCTCTTGCTTATAACGCCTCATGTAACGGAATCCGGAATCTGGGAAAAATTTGCAGGTGAAATCCGGAATAATGGGCTTTGGAGTCCGGAGTACAGCTCAAAGAATCCGGACTCCCACTAGCAATTGGAATTGAGAATCCAAGTTCCACTGGCAAAGACTGGAATCGAGTACCTGGAATCTGAAATCCGTGACGTGGAATCTAGAATCCAAGACTATCTTGGATTGCCTTACATGGGGTGACTTATAGGTCGGCTTGTTGAACTGCGTCTACTTGATCCCAACACGTAGCACGATACAATGTTTAGTTTCTGATGTTACCTTAAGATAAGTAATGTATTAAACCTGAAGAAAACGAGATGTTTACTGTGATTGTTGATCTCTACGATCCCTTAAACTATTTTAAAACAACTTCTTCTTGAATTGGAATAGTCAATATTTGATGAACAAACCACTCCCACCTCGGGGGCGCTAAACATTTTCTATTCTAGTACATTTTTTTACATATTTTAAGACAAGTTTCTGATTCTGTCATCAAATTATCCCGCTAGGTAAATCGGTTTTCAAGCAAGAAAACCCAACTTTCGAGCAGAAGTTTGATGAAAACCATTTGACCTCGTTTCGCCATACAACGTCATAAGAAGCATAAAGGCACCAAAAACTCATTAGATTATATTTTCAAAGAGTACCACGGCAGTGGCCCACAACTTTTGCCAGGGGTCTCTTGGCAGCCAAATGACTCAGTAAAACAAAAACGTGTTCGAACCAATTTTTCCCAACCAGGGATGTACCTTGGAGACAGCAACGGAAACTTTTGTGCATATTCATCAAACCGGGTAACGGGTATTCGAACCGTGGCGTTAATAAAAGGGTAGGAGGGAGGAGTGAAACCCAAGTAAGTAAGTAAAGTAAATCAGTAAGCGGAAGTGAGGATTAGGAATTATTTCGCCCATCCCTGTCGGCGAACTACTGCAGACTCGTACCCAATCGACATGACGTAGCTAGTCCTTGATTAAACCCCTCGCCAGTAGATGAGTGTGGGGAAGGAGCCTGATCAAAAGAAGGGAGCCGCAAGGTATCACGGGAGGTAACCATGACAACCGGGTAAGCGGGAACCAACACGCTTCGTCTTGGGTGATAGATTACCCCTTAATTTTGGCGCCAAATTTCAGCGTTAATTTATAATTTCTCTCGTGAAATTACAAAATTGCCATACCAACGTTCCGTTCGTCTCAGGGCAAGATGGCGTAGAAAATTCAAAATGTTATCAATGAAGATGTCTGGGCAGGGCATTTAAAGACGCTTTAGAAAATCTGAACACACGAAAAAACACACCAAGAACTATTCTAACAAGTAATTTGTCGCAAAACTTGTGAACTTAAGACAAATTTTAATACTTGCAGGAAAATTCTCCAAGTAAAGACAAGACATTTAAGGTACACATCACTCCATGTAAAGTAATCAGAATTCAGGAATCCGGGAAATTTTGTTTGTGGAATCCAGAATCATGTGAAATTTGTTCTTGTGGAATTTTAAATCCTGGACTTGGGAATCCGGAATTCAGCTCAAGAAATTCGGAATCCCGCTAACGATTGAAATCCGGAATCCAAGTTCCACTAACAAGGAATCCGAAATTCAATACCTGGAATTTGGATTACACAGCGTGGAATCTAGAATCCAAGACTGTCTTGCATTTCCTTACAGAACAAGTCATAATGAACTTTACTGACAGTAGCGAGCTAACAAATAGATCATGGAAAATTAACGGTTCCCAATTCTTGCACGAGAATTCTCCAAATAAAGACAAGACATTTAAGTTACACGAATGAGCTGCTTTGCAGACAGCAGCGAACTAATAACCTCTTTATTGGTATTTCCGACGAAATCGAAGTCACGGCGGCGGTCGCTATATTGACGAAACGACGATATTAGAGATTAAAGCGACGACTGTTTTCCCATTTCGATCACGTTCATTTGATCTGACAGCATGAGTCTTACGATAGCGAAAAACAAATCTACCGAACAGGGTGCTGCACGTTCAGAGTTGAAACGGCGGTCATTGTGGTGTACCCAACCAATCCTGTGTGGGACTTGAACCTAATTCTTATGAAAAAACTTTCTTTTGTTCGAGTAAATATGTGGAAGGAAGACGCTTTCTCTATTTAGACTAAATGGTTAGGGCGCATGATGGAATATCAAGAGGGCAGGGAGAGGTGGTGATAGGTATATATAGGTGGGGATAGGTATATAGGAGACAACCTCGTTCCCAGGGTTCTCTCCTACAAGCAGAGAGAACCTGGGAACGAAGTTGGGTAGGAGTTTCGGCCGCTTCGTTCTAAGCGCATCCTCCGAGACCAAGGGGCAGCTACAATCCTCGGCAAAAATCTTGAAACACTTCCTCAGTAGTGATTTGGGTATTACAGTATACAGTGGTCTCAGTGCTTCAAAATACGCGTGGCTCAACATTGGGGAGGGAGAGGGCACATCATGACAGTGAGAACAAAAGTGTGAGGGGTAAAAATCTCAAGAATTTTCCAGAAAATTCAAGAGAAACGGTGTCTGTTTCAACGATTTGTGACGAGTATTGCAGTCGAAACCATTCTATCGTAACTACTAGCTGCCCCTGGGTCTCCGAGGATGTTCTAATCATTATGAACTTATCCCAACAACAGTTGTGATATTTATGTTAACCCTTTTAGCCACAAGAGTGACCAATATCAATTTCCTCCTAACAATTTCAACATATTATTAAGAGAAAAGGTTCAGAGAATTTATAAAAGAGGAAAATGCTTTTATCCTTCATCATATTCTTGTCTCCAAACAGGAGTCCAAACAATAATTTCTTAGCAGATATAAAGGAATGGGCGCCATGAACTTTTGAATGAGGTGGAAGAAACTGCGAGCGTGGTTTACAAGGACATTCTTGACTGGATTTAGCAAAAGCTACCTTGAACTGTTTTAGGCCACGAGCACACGAATCCAGACTAATTTTTGAAATTGCATAACTTTTTACCTGGATTCGTATAGACGGGGCCTTAAACCACTCCGGAGAGCGGTTTCAAAAAGATAGTAGGCTGATTTAGCAATAGAACGGGAACGTCAGTTGACGACGACGCGTGCAAGTCAAACAACTGGCTTGACCAATGGCAGAGCAGCGAATTGAGCACCGGAAGTCGCGTTCAGTCCTTTCCGCGCGCTTTCCCGTCGTCAACTGATGTTCCCGTTCTGTTGCTAAATCAGCCTAAAGTTTCGGTGAGAGGATTCACTGGTTTCGGGCGTGGACGGAATACCAGACGGACGGCCGATTCATGTGAAAAGTGTATATAAATGAGGTTTCAAAAATATCCGGATTTGTGTGGACGGGGCTTTTCACGATAGTGTCAATTTACAAATATGAACCAGAATAATTTCATTTTTTCATTTCTTTCATATTTAATTCGGTAAATTCAGAAGCCTTAATTTGCAGGAGAAAGCCAAATTTTGAAGGATTCTAAAAAGGGCCGTTTGCACGATGGCGTCATTTTACTATACCAGATTCCTTCTGGGTTTTGCTTTCTTCAGCAAGTTAGGGCTTTTGTTATTTAAACCTCAGTGGGATTACCAAATTTAAATATGAAAGAAAAATGAAATGAATTTCTTTAGTAGAGAAAACAAGTCATCGCGTAAATAGCCAATTAGGCCCCTTGGCCCCAGTCTATTCTGAACTGCTGCATATATTCGGGCTGGGAGGATAACCCTTACATGGGCCTCGCTAATGTCGGGCGTATTAAATCTCGAGTAACTGACGTTCAATCAGAGTCAATCTCTGTATTTTAACGCCAGGTTTGATTTACAGTTTGATGTTCCTGTATAATAATAGCCTCCGATCATGCTCTCCCTAAAAAAACGTAAAACGCCTGTTTTAAAAAAAGACGATGAAACATGCGAAACTATAGTTTTACGCTATTTACTTGTTTCTGTTTTCGTCTTTTGCGTCTATTGTTTGTTCAGTTTTGCGGTTTAATTTTGTATTTTTATGTGTGTTTCCGGTTTGGGATGCTTATTTCCGTTTGGGGATTTGTGTTTCTGTTTTCTGGTAGTGTTTTTCTGTTTTGGCTTTCCGTTTTGTCCTATGTGTTTCTGTTTTGGGTTTGTTCTTTTCTATTGTTGTTGTTGTTGTTGTTGTCTTGTGGTTTTTTTGTTTCTATCGGCCACCCTATATATTTGATAGTCCTCTGCATTTAAATCCAACCACTGGAGAACACTTCAAAACTCCGTTTTTCTTCACAGAGATCAAATCGTCCATGTAAGAAATAATCTCCTTTAACTTGGAATTTGTCTAATCAGATATTTCTGCAAGGTTTATTTTGATTTCCTGCTGTAGTTTTTTCCCTCTCTTTTTTACTTAAAAATAATTAATAATAAGTTCAGACCGGTTTGCGACCGCGAAGCAAAGTTTGTTTGTTCCATGTTAAGCAAAACGTCCGACTAGAATATTGTTTTGACCGATTTGTGTTTCTCTCCCTCCGTTGTCTCTCTTTTCCGCCTCTTCCACTTCCTTTCTACCCCTCCCCCGCCTAAAAAAAATCCACCCCTACCCCTCCTCACACAAGCAATGCCTGATATTCAGGATAATTTGTGTTAAATGTGGATCTCTCATGTTGTAGACGTCACAGATTGTTAATAATTTTCATTTTTATTAGAATAGCTAACGAAGAAAGACCTACTTTGTACATAAATTTGTGAAACTAAGTCTTGTATCGATTAATAAGAAATTGAGGTCATGAACTTATTTAGTCAAGACATTTTCCTCAAACAACTTCCTTTTAATTTTTCAAGGTGCATTGGGACTATGTAAATAATAATGCCACGAAGTATTTCAGGAAAATCACTGTTTATAAATTAAATAATCTTTTACTTCTGCTCTATGTAAGGTAAACAATTCAAAATTTGTTGTGGTTTACTAGTTTGTGGTCTCTCTGAAATTTGTATGTAATGTTATTGTCGCCGGGCAGCGGGTCAGCGGACTCATTTTTTAGGATTAGACCAAGCCCCATTTCTCTGGACTTAACCTGTGTACAGCCGCCCTCTCCCCTCAGAAAAACCAATTTCATACTTTGACGGGAGGGCGCCTATACACAGGCTATTTGGACTTAAACATTTTATGTAAACTAGATGGGGAGAGTGTTGTGGCTCTAATAGAATCGTCAAAGCACGGCTGCACAGTGAGAAAGCCGTATAACTTTAATATTTTTCTCTTAGTTTTTAGATAAAAAGGTCTACACTTTCTACTCCTGTAAGAATTTTATAATTTCAAAAGTGGAAACCGAAGGTAATTGGACTTAACTTTGGGCTTTTTGCGGTTTCTCTTGCCAACCATGCACGAGCATGAAACTAAACAATAAAGCCACAAACGATAGAAATATTTCTTTGAGCTACATATTCTGAAATAAAAACCTTAGGGTTAGAGCTAATAAGAAATGACTCTTGATTTGGCTCAAAATGTTCCGATCCATTCATTAAAGATGCATCATTCAAAACCCTCAAAATTGAGCTAAAAATCGACCTCAGAGAACCGGGCCCCAAACGGCTGATCTATAGACCAAAACAGGGACAATCGAGCTAAAACACTGGCAAAATGTGGAAGTCTCTATAGTAACTAAGTGTACACAATTTGGTCAAAACCAACCGATACCTACTTCTAGGCCTACCACACTCTCTCATGCAGACGCTCTCAACTATATCGATATTCGGTATCACAGGAGTTTCAAATATGATTAGTTTTTGTACTTAATGTAACCTTTCTTTGTTTTTTGAATACTAAGGTAGGGTACACAGAGGTGATTTTTTTGAGTATTTTTATCTTAGATATAGAAAAAAGGTTTAAGGGATTCTAAATGAAATATTCTGTTATATCAGACGGAATAATTCCGGAGATGCTTCAGTTAGATTAAACTAGCGACGAAGGTGTGGAAAGTTATATCATGTCTTATGTGTCTAAATGAAGACAAAATGTTTCAAGAGACTTCAAATGTACTAATGACAATTATTTTGCTTTTTCTTCACCTCCACGCACCTGTAAAGAAACCTTACGCCCAAGAGTTTCACTTTTAACACTAAAACTTCGAAATGGCAGAAAGAATACCACAAGATATAGCTGATCAAAAAGAACGTCTTACAGTAGCGCAAATCAATAAAAACACGGCAGAGAAAGCTCGTGCCTAGTACAATATAGGCAGAGCTTATTACTCCCTCAGTAACTTCCATCAAGCAATAGAGTACTACGAGCAATACCTAAGTACTGCCATAGAAATTGATGACAGGACAGGTGAAGGATGTGCCTATTGTAGTCTTGGTTGTGCTTATATATCCCTCAGTGACTTCCACCGAGCAATAGAGTACCACAATAGACACCTCAGCATTGCCAAGGAAGTTGGTAGCAGGGCATGTGAAGGGACAGCCAATGGCAATCTGGGCGTTGCTTATCAATCCCTCAACGAATTACAACGAGCAATAGAGTACCACAATAGACACCTCAGCATTGCCAAGGAAGTTGGTAGCAGGGCATGTGAAGGAACAGCCTATGGCAATCTGGGCGTTGCTTATCAATCCCTCAACCAATTACAACGAGCAATAGAGTACCACAAGCAACACCTCAGCATTACAAGGAAATCGGTGGTAGGGCAGGAGAAGGATCTGCCTATGGTAATCTCGGCGTCGCTTATAAATCCCTCCGCGAATTCCAACGAGCAATAGAATACCACAAGAAACACCTGAGCATTGCCCAGGAAATCGGTGACAGGGCAGGAGAAGGAAGAGCCTATGGTAATCTTGGCTTTGCTTATCATTCCCTCAGCAAATTCCAAGGAGCAATAGAGTACCACAAGAAACGCCTGAGCATTGCCCAGGAAATCGGTGACAGGAAAGGAGAAGGAAGTGCCTATGAAAATCTCGGCGTTGCTTATGATTCCCTCAGCGAATTCCAACGAGCAATAGAGTACCACAAGAAACACCTCAGCATTGCCCTGGAAATCGGTGACAGGAAAGGAGAAGAAAGTGCCTATGGTAATCTCGGCATTGCTTATCAATCCCTCAGCGAATTTCAACGAGCAATAGAGTACCACAAGAAACACCTGAGTATTTCCCAGGAAATCGAAGACAGGGCAGGAGAAGGAAGTGCCTGTGGTAATCTCAGCGTTGCTTATCGATCCCTCAGCGAATTCCAACGAGCAACAGAGTACCACAAGAAACACCTCAGCATTGCCCAGGAAATCGGTGACAGGGCAGGAGAAGGAAGTGCCTATGGTAATCTCGGCGTTGCTTATCTATCCCTCAGCGAATTTCAACGAGCAATAGAGTACCACAAGAAAAGCTTGAGCATTACCCAGGAAATCGGTAACACGAAAGGAGAAGGATGTGTCTATGGTAATCTCGGCAATGCTTATCGAAACCTCAGCGAATTCCAACGAGCAATAGAGTACCTCAAGAAAAGCCTGAGCATTGCCAAGGAAGTTGGCGACAGGGAAGGAGAAGGAAGAGCATATGGTAATCTCGGCGTTTCTTATCAGTTCCTCAGTGAGTTCCAACGAGCAATAGAGTACCACAAGAAACACCTGAGCATTGCCAAGGAAATCGGTGCCAGGGGAGGAGAAGGATGTGCCTATGCTAATCTCGGCAATGCTTATAGACAACTTAGCGAATTCCAACGGGCAATGGAGTACCACAAGAAACACCTGAGCCTTGCAAAGAAAATCAATGACAGGGTAAGAAAAGTTGGTGTCTATCGTGATCTCGGCGTAGTTTATGAATCCCTCGGCGACTATCAACAAGCAATAGGGCACTACAAGCAATTCGTGAGCACTGCCAAGGAATTCGGTGAAGGGAGAGAAGAAGGAGTTTCCTATTGCCAACTCAGCAGGGCTTATTATCTTCTCAGCGACTTTAAAGAGGCAATAGAGTACTCAAAGCAACAACTGATCATTGCCGAGGAAATCGGTGATAAGATGGGAGAAGGATGCGCCCATAACGGCCTGGGTCACAATCTTTTACCATTAGGGTTTTTGAATGAAGCTTTAGATCATTTTAGATGCAGTGTCAAAATCTTTGACACAATCAGAGCCAGCTTTATTTCCGAAGATGGATCAAAAATACGTTTTCGTACGCATCGTCAATGTGCCTATACTAAATTATGGCAAGTTTTACTCATGCTTCAAAAGAAGGATGAAGCTTTATACGCTGCTGAGAGAGGACGAGCACAGGCTTTGCTCGATGCCTTAAAAGTAACTTATGGCCTTACGTCACATTCTCCCAGGTCAATTGAATCTGAAGGAGAAGTCACATATATTTCAAAGAAGACAACTGTTTTAACAGTTTTTCTTGCCCTGCAATTGAAAACAGTCAATATGTGGGTATTGCGAAAAGAGGGCGACCCTATTTTTAGGCAAGCAGAGTTAGAAATTGGAGGTGCACACGAAGATTCTTTTGCTCTTCTTTTAGACACTGCTTTGAAGGGCTGGCGTCGGTATTAGGTGCGAAAATCGGTCAATGGATAAGATGAGTGATGACCAAACTTCAACTACTCGAGACGATGATCAAACATCGGAGCCCTTACAGGAGACCACCGACTGTTTACGGCCATTATATGATGCAGTTCTTGGTCCCATTGAAGACTTGCTTGATGGTGATGAACTTATTGTAGTTCCTGACGGCGCTTTGTCTAAAGCTCCTTGGGCAGCCCTGAGTGAAACTTTAAGGATCCGCACTGTTCCCTCACTGACAAGTTTGAAACTCATCACAGATTCTCCATCTGGACACCACAGTAAAAGTGGAGCCCTGCTTGTCGGAGATCCATGTTTGGTGAAAGTTACAAATAAACGGGGAAACCCCATTTATGATCAACTGCAGTACGCAAGAATGGAAGTGGAGATGATTGGACAAATTCTAAAGAGTCAACCATTAACAGGTGAAGACGCAACCAAAGAAGCGGTACTTCAAAGAATCGCGTCAGTTTCTTTGGTTCATATCGCAGCCCACGGAAGGAAGGAAACTGGAGAAATTGTTTTGGCTCCAGACCTTCGATGGGAATCCAAGACTCCTACGCATGAGGACTATATTTTGAAAATGTCTGATATACAAGCTGCGAAGCTGAGAGCAAGACTAGTTGTGTTAAGTTGCTGCCATAGTGGTCAAGGACCGGTCTCGTCTGAGGGTGTGGTCGGTATGGCACGTGCTTTCTTGTTTGCTGGTGCTCGTTCCGTGCTGTCGACACTCTGGGCAATTGATGACCAAGCCACAATGATGTTTATGAAATCTATCTATCAACAACTTGCAAGCGGAGAAAGTGCAAGTGGTGCTCTTCAGAGGGCCATGAAATGTCTTCGAGACTCCCACGATTATTCTGCTTCAAAGTACTGGGCTCCTTTTGTTCTGATGGGCGATGACATTAAGATTGAATTGGAAAAAAAGTCATTGAGCAAGTCGTAAGTGGAGATTTTTTTCTTGCTGTTCTAGTAACAGAAGGCTTAAGAAGAAAAGCTAGAACCATGCTCGTAAAATTCAGATAAAAGGAAAATGACAGACTTGATAATAAAAAGAATAAATATATGTACAAAGTAAGGATGGGTTGGGTGGTAAGTGTTAAAGTATTATGGAATCACTCAAGTAAATGTTATTCCTGGCGGGTACCAACACATTTCAAAAATCAATTGAACTCTAGGCATTGCTTAATGTTCTCAATTGTTAAATAGTTTAGGTCAGGGTGGATAAAAGATATATATAGGGATAAGTTTCCTACATTTTCCTACAGTACTAGTACTATATGTAGAGAAATTCACAGCTTCATAACGAACAAATATGTCTAACATATCAAATGTTTTCATTTTGCCATTTTTCATATTATTATCCATGGCATCCTAAAATTCAAAGGGTTGACCTTTACTTTGTTTTTAAATGAAAGGTTAATTAATGAATCAATTGTTACTTTTTTACAGGATGCGCTGAAAGTTTGATGTCAACACAACTGCTGAAGTAGGGTGCATATATCTGGATTTCTAAAGAAAACAGCGCGTTACTTAATAGAGGAATTTCCTGAGAGGGGATTTTAGTAAAAACGCTTGTTTCCAGTTAAGCCATTTTTTCTCAGAAGATATTAGAGAGATTTAGAGTCAAGCTTACTGCAAACGTCTGCCGATTCAAGTTGCGAATTCCTCAAAATAGAAAATATGCAGATAAAAACAGCTCAAAGCAATTTTTATGGATAAAGCTAACGTGAAACTAACCATTTTTTTGTAGATTCAATTAACAGTAAACAATAAGTAAAGGAAAAACTTGGTCACATGGTACAAATCTACGTCTGCCGTAAACGTGACTCTAAATCTCTCTTAACATCAAAAAAATGTTTTAATCAAAGGGAATACAGTATACTGTGGAGCTCTATATTAGCGACGGCTACACTTACCAATTTTAACTTAAGAAAAAGACAATTTTCGTGGAGAAAGTACTTAATGTTGTTTACCGTACTTAAAGTAGTTACCGTAAGCATTACGTGCATTCTGAACGTGTCTGAGTTTAGCGGGACACTTCAGTAGTTTAAGGTCTGGGTTAAAAGGGTGTGTTTCATACGATTGATCCTCTCTTACCCTGAACTAGTATTCAAAAAAAAGGAATATGTTCATGTCTTGGGGATCCTTAACGTATAAATTGGCGGAGAGTACAAACTGCAGACTGCAGACTTATTGTTTTGAGGGTTAGAAAACAATGGAACTATTGTTGTCACGTTGTCATTTGCATGGTAAAACTGTGGTTTGCAGCAGTCTACAGTCTGCATTTTGTATTGACGGTATAAATTGGGACACACATTGAATTATTAGTATACTGAATTGCTTGTGCAGAGACAACAGCGAGCGACTGCTGGCGAATTGCATCGTCTGAGAATGATCAGAGTAACTTTTGCCTTGTTTTAATAACCTTTTTTTTTGGAAAAGTGTTGTCAGATAGTCCCTCACTGTATGCAAAGGAGGGAAAAGGGGTCAGAAATTTAATTTTCATCCTTAAACAAGATTTATTTCCCTTCTCTTTTTTTCCACCACCACTTCCTTGAAAAGCTGAATGTCAATCCGCATCTGTCTCTGCATTTGTAGACTGTTTCTTCTGCTATTAAACTAGGGTTAAATCTTAATCTTGTTTCTTATTTAAATACTGCGAGTCAATTCAATCATATATTAAAACGTTTACGTGTGTACCATTGCGTAAGTGGTCCAATAGCTGTAATTGATGTCACCTTTAAAGTATCCACACAGTGGAAGAGATTAGATAAAGATTTTGGACGCTCCAATAACATAATGATGTTTTGTTGTAATTGTGTTAGTTTGTAAAAGTTCGGCTTTTTATCAAATAGATCAGTTCCAGATCAAAACACGTACACAGCATCGTTCTGCGGTTTGGCGTTTGGAAATCACAGCAATCGTTCAAGCTATCATCATTCTATCGAGAATCTGACCAATTTTTACTACCTCTAGCTTGCTTTTCTCTAGGCCGTTGACTTTTAGCCATCCCTTAGTTATATTATTTAAAGGAGCTGCTTTAATTTAGGGATGTCACCATTAGAAAAAAGGATAGGAGGTTGGGGGGAGGCAAACGCATTAGTAAGAAAAAAATCTCCACACGCACCATGATGAAAAAAGCTGTTCGAGGAGGAAAAATAGATTTCCACCTGAGGGGTAAAGAGAAAACTTTCATAGACCTCCCAAAAATTGAACCCAGCCCCTTTACTTTCCTAATGGTTCATCCCTTATAACGCCCCATGTAAGGGAATCCTGAATCTGAGAAAAATTTGCATCTGAAATCCGGAATCCTGGGCTTTAGAGTCCGGAGTACAGCTCAAATGCGGAATCCGTGACGTGGAAACCAGAATCCCAGACTATCGTGGATTCTCTTACATGGGGTGACTTATAGGTCGGCTTGTTGAACTGCTTCTTCTTGATCCCAACACGTAGCACGATAGAATGTTTAGTTTCTGATGTTACCTTCAAAGAAGTAATCTTTGTATTAAACGTGAAGAAAAAGAGATATTTACAGTGATTGTTGATCTCTTCGATGCCTTAAACCATTTTAAAACAACTTCTCCTTGAATTGGAATAGTCAATATTTGATTAACAAACCACTCCCCCCTCAAAGGCGCTAAACAGTTTCGATTCTAGGACGTTTTTCACATATTTTAAGGCAAGTTTCTGATTCTGTCATCAAATTATCCCGCTAGGTAAATCGGTTTTCAAGCAAGAAAATCCAACTTTCGAGCAGAAGATTGATGAAAACCATTTGACCTTGTTTCGCCATACAACGTCATAAGCATAAAGGCGCCAGAAACTTATTCCATTATATTTTCAAAGAGTACCATGGTAGTGACCCACAACCGTGCAACGGGTCTCTTGGCAGCCAAATGACTCAGTAAAACAAAAACGTGTTCAAACCAATTTTCCCCATTCAGGGATGTACCTTTGAAACAGCAAAGGAAACTTTTGTCCATATTTACCAAAACTAGAATTTCAACGGTAATCCAAGCAATCTTGCCACTTTCAATTGAAGCAGCACCGATCTAGAAAGTGGATCGTCTCATATCGGATAGGTTTCTGTGCAACTCTTCGTTGCAGTGTGAACGGGTAACGGGTATTCGAACCTTGGCGAAAATAAAAGAGTAGGAGGGAGAACTGGAACCCAGAAAGACGGAAGTAAATATAAGCGGAAGCGAGGATTGGTATTTAGTCGCCAAACCCTCTCTGCCAACTACTCCAGACTCGTACCCAGTCGCTACTTATTTATCACCACGTGCATCAACCTAACCCCAATCTTCTCTCACCCCAAAAGCACATCAATAGCGACTGGGTACGAGTCTTCAACTGCTCCGTGTGAACGACTTGTTCCTGTTCTTTTTGTTCCTACTATAACGGATAAACGGATAGCTTTTCACGTGGACATGAAAAGCTATTCGGCATAATGTAGACTTCATAGATTTTCCTCTCCAGGCATGGGCAAAGTCAAGTTTAAGTACACACCTGATCAATCGCAAAGCATGCATTCTTCTTTTAATCATATTTCTAAATATGGTAATGTTTGCGAGTTGGATAAACTATATATATTGAACACCTTTTGAATGAGATTTTGTGATATCCGGAATAATCAAAGGTCGAGGTGTTACCAACCGAGCCGAAGGTTATGGCTGATAACGCTTACCGAGACCTTGATTATTCCAGATATCACAAAAAGCTAAACTAATCACACATTGGTTTGAAGAAAATAACAACACAACGTCGCACGGAACATAGCATTGCGCGCGCAAACTGCAGACAAGTCAGTTATCTGCTGGCAGAAAATTAACTAATCTGTAGGTTGCGCTGATTTTCAAATAACATTAACTGTAGGCTCTTAGCCAATGAGACGGAATGTAGTGAGTACAATTTATAACAATTTTATTTATGTCTATGAAATTTATTTCAAATTAGATATCTTGCAAACGGAATTGCAAGGAAAAAATTCACGCACAGAGTTATTAGTCATTATAATAATAAAGGATGGTTGAGAATATAAGTGGGAATGGGAAAGACAAAAAAAATAAAATTCAAGAGGAAAAAAACATAACGTAGCTAGTCCTTGATTAAACCCCTCCCCAGTAGATGGATGTGGCGTTGTCTCCAAACGGGAGTCTAAAGATTGATATGGCGACTATTATTGTCGTTGTTTTCCCACTTTGGCCAATTTTTTGTGGCGTTATCATTTCTAAATCTACCCATTATTATTTCATTATTAACACAACTTCTTGTAAACTTTCTTAGCAGATATAAAAGAATGGGTACCATGAACTTTTGAATGAGGTGGAAGAAACTGCAAGCGTGGTTTACGAGGACATTCTAGACTGGATTCAGCAAAAGCTACCTTGAACTGTTTCAGGCCACGAGCACACGAATCCAGACTAATTGTTTAAACTGCATAACTTTCTACCTGGATTCGTATAGACGGGACCTTAAACCACTCCGGACAGCGGTTTCAAAAAGATAGTAGGCTGATTTAGCAATAGAACGGGAACGTCAGTTGACGACGACGCGCGCAAGTCAAACAACTGGCTTGACCAATGGCAGAGCAGCAAATTGAGCACCGGAAGTCGCGTTCAGTCCTTTCCGCGCGCTTTCCCGTCATCAACTGATGTTCCCGTTCTGTTGCTAAATCAGCCTAATGCTTCGGCGAGAGGATACACTGGTTTGGCGCGTGGACGGAAGGCCGATTCATGTGAAAAATATATATAAATGCGGTTTCAAAAATATCCCGACCGGATTTTTGTGGACGGGGCTTTCACGATAGTGTCAATCTACAAATATGACCAGAATCATTTCATGTTTTCATTTCTTTCAAATTTAATTCGGTAAATTCCGAAGCCTTAATTTGCATGAGAAAGCCAAATTCTGAAGAGTTCTAAAAAGGGCCGTTTTTACGATGACGTCATTTTACTATACGAGATTCCTTCAGGGTTTTGCTTTCTTCTGCAAGTTAGGGCTTTTGTTTTTTAAACCTCAGTGGGATTACCAAATTTAAACATGAAAGGAAAAAATGAAATGAATTCCTTTATTAGCAAAAACAAGTCATCGCGTAAATAGCCAATTAGGTCCCGTGGCCCCAGTCTATTCCGAACTGCTGCATAATTCGAACTGGGGGGGGTGACCCTTGATATAGGTTTAATAAACAAAACAATAACTCCGCACGTGCTTCGCACGTTTTTATAAATTTTTATTCGCCATCACTACGTTATATAGAGGACATAAGCACCCAAAGACAAATTTCTTTTTCTCTATTTACACTTTGATGTCAGTGCTCCTTAAACATTCATTTCGACGGAAAAATCACCTACATTTGACCAACTTAGCCTGTTACTAACCCCCACAAATTTTAAAAGTACGCCAAATACTTTTATAAATGACGTTTCGCTACCGTCGCCTCCCTAATGTCGGGCGTATTAAATCTCGAGCAACTGACGTTCAGTCAGAGTCAATATCTGTATTTTAACGTCATACGTTAGAAGTTATGTCTCACGTTAGGTTGTTTGCTTTGGACTAGCAAAGGTACCAGGACGATCACGAAAAGGACCCCGCGTGGTTTTGCCTTCCGGTCCTTGCGTGAACACCCCGGCGGGCTAAAATTGACCGGAAACCTCAGAGATGAAAATACCGGTCACCTGGAGCGAGCGGCGACAAAGAGAAGAGATAGCCTGGGGACGAGATTGATTTACAGTTTGATGTTCCTAAATAATAATAACCTGCGATCATGTTCTCCCTAAAAGAAAACGTAAAACGCCTGTTCAAAAAAAAAAACAAAGAAACATGAAAAACTGTATAGGTTTACGCTTTACACTATTTTCTTGTTTCTGTTTTCGTCTTTTGTGGCTTTATGGTTCGTATTTTTGGATTTTGTTTCAGTTTTGTGGTTTAATTTTGTATTTTTGTGTGTGTTTTCGATTGGGGATGCTTATTTCCGTTTTGGGATTTGTGTTTCTGTTTTCTGGTAGTGTTTTCTGTTTTGGGTTTGTTCACTTCTATTTTTGTTGTTGTTGTTGTTGTCTTGTGGTTTTTTTGTTTCTATCAGCCACCCTATATATTTGATAGTCCTCTGCATTTAAATCCAATCAAAACTCCGTTAAAAATTTCTTCACAGATATCAAATCGTTCAGGTAAGAAATAATGTCCTTTAACTTGGAATTTTTCTAATCAGATATTTCTGCAAGGTTTATTTTGATTTCCTGCTGTAGTTTCTTTCCCTCTCTTTTTTTACTTAGAAATAATTAATAATAAGTTTAGTAGACCGGTTTGCGACGGCGAAGCAAAGTATGTTTGTTCGATGTTAAGCAAGACGTCCGACTAGAATATTGTTTAAGCCGATTTGTGTTTCTCTACCTTCGTCGTCTCCCTTTTCCGCTTCTCTCTTCCACCTCCCTTCCACCCTCTACCCCTACCCCTCCTCATGGCTACATAATAAATCGCGCCTTTAGCAGGAAAAAAGTGTCTAACTGAAATTTCGTATCTCCGCACGGCCATGTAATATCCTCTATGTGCTACATATTCGGCCATAAAAACAATGTTCCGATCCATACATTAAAGGTGAATTATTCAAAACCCTCAAAATTGACCTAAAAATCGACCTCAGAAAACCCGGCCCAAAAAAGGCTTATCTATATACCTCACACCAAAACAGGGATAATCGAGCTAAAACATTGGCATAATGTATAAGTCTCTATGATAGTAACTAAGTGTACCAAATTTGAGCAAAATCGACCGACACCTACATCCAATCCTCCCTCAGGCAGAAGCTCTCAACTATATTTTCATTTGGTATCACAGGAGTTTGAAATATCATGTTTAGTTTTTGTACTTAATGAAACCTTTCTTGTTTTCTGAATATTTAAGTAGGGTACAAAGGAGATTTTTTTACTTTCAACTAAGTTTATAGAAAGAAGTTTAAAAGGAATCTGCTTGAAATATTGTGTTATAACACCAATATTCAGAAATCGACAAAAAAATTCAGAAGATTTGTCAGTTAGAGTAAGTCTAGGGTGGAAGGAGTGGAAAGTTCTAGGTACCTTATCGGTCTAATGGGAACATATTGTAAGACTTCAAATGTATTAATGAGAATTATTTTTGTTTTTTCTCTACCTCCACGCTCCTTTAAAGAAGCATTATGCCCAAGAAACAGTTCCACTGTCTTTGAATACTAAAAATTCGAAATGGCAGAAAGAATACTACAAGATATAGCTGAACAAAAAAAGCGTCTTGCAATAGCGCAAATCAACAAAAACACGGAAGAGAAAGCAAATGCCTACTACAATCTAGGCATAGCTTATTACTCCCTCGAGGACTTTCAACGAGCAATGGAGTACCTCAAGCAATACCTGAGCATTGCTGAGGAAGTCGATGACAGAGCAGGTGCAGGACTTGCCTATGGCAATCTCGGCTCTGCTTACCAATCCCTTGGTGACTACCAAAGAGCAACAGAGTACCACAATCAACACCTCATCATTGCCAAGGAAGTTGGTGACAGGGCAGGTGAAGGATGTGCCTATTCCAATCTCGGCCTTGCTTATCACAGTCTTGAAGAATTCCAACGAGCAATAGAGTGCCACAATCAACACCTCGGCATTGCCAAGGAAGTTGGTAACAGGGCATGTCAGGGGAAAGCTTATCTCAATCTCGGCCTTGCTTATCACAGCCTTGAAAAATTCCAACAAGCAATAGAGTACCACAATCAACACCTCAGCATTGCCAAGGAACTTGGTGACAGGGTAGGTCAAGGCCACGCCTATTCCAATCTCGGCGATACTTATGACAGCCTTGAAGAATTCCAACGAGCAATAGATCACTACAATCAATACCTCAGCATTGCCAAGGAAGTTGTTGACAAGGCAGGTGAAGGATGTGCCTATGGCAATCTCGGCCTTGCTTATCACAGCCTTAAAGAATTCCAACGAGCAATAGAGTGCCACAATCAGCATCTCAGCATTGCCAAGGAACTTGGTGACAGGGTAGGTCAAGGCCACGCCTATTCCAATCTCGGCGATGCTTATGACAGCCTTGAAGAATTCCAACGAGCAATAGAGTACCACAATCAACACCTCAGCATTGCCGAGGAAGTTGGTGACAGGGTAGGTCAAGGCGACGCCTATTCCAATATCAGCGATGCTTATCGCAGCCTTAAAGAATTCCAAAGATCAATAGAGTACACCAATAAATACATCACCATTGCCAAGGAAGTTGGTGACAGGGCACGTGAAGGATGTGGCTATGGCAATCTCGGCTGGAATTATGACTCCCTCAGCGAATTCCAACAAGCAATAGAGTACCACAATCAACACCTCAGCATTGCTAAGGAAGTTGGTAACAGGGCATGTGAAGGCAAAGCCTATTGCCAACTCGGCCATGCTTATCAGAGCCTTAAAGAATTCCAAAGAGCAATAGAGTACCACAATCAACGCCTCATCATTGCCAAGGAAGTTGGTGACAGGGCAGGTGAAGGATGTGCCTATTCCAATCTCGGCCATGCTTATCGCAGCCTTAAAGAATTCCAAAGAGCAATAGAGTACTACAATCAACACCTCATCATTGCCAAGGAAGTTGGTGACAGGGCAGGTGAAGGATGTGCCTATGGCAATCTCGGCCTTGCTTATCACAGCCTTGAAGAATTCCAACGAGCAATAGAGTGCCACAATCAACACCTCAGCATTGCCAAGGAAGTTGGCAACAGGGCATGTCAAGGCAAAGCTTATCTCAATCTCGGCCTTGCTTATCACAGCCGTGAAGAATTCCAACAAGCAATAGAGTACCACAGTCAACACCTCAGCATTGCCGAGGAAGTTGGTGACAGGGTAGGTCAAGGCGACGCCTATTCCAATATCAGTGATGCTTATCGCAGCCTTAAAGAATTACAAAGAGCAATAGAGTACACCAATAAATACATCACCATTGCCAAGGAAGTTGGTGACAGGGCACGTGAAGGATGTGGCTATGGCAATCTCGGCTGGAATTATGACTCCCTCAGCGAATTCCAACTAGCAATAGAGTACCACAATCAACACCTCAGCATTGCTAAGGAAGTTGGTAACAGGGCATGTGAAGGCAAAGCCTATTGCAACCTCGGCTATATTTATATGCATCTCTACGAATACCAACGAGCAATGGAGTACACCAATAAAGGCCTAATAATTGCCAAGGAAGTTGGTGACAGGGCAGGGCAAGGGCAAGGCTATGGCAATCTCGGCGATATTTATTTAACTCTCGGCGAATACCAACGAGCAATAGAGTACACCAATAAATGCATCATCATTTGCAGGGAAGTTGGTAACAGGGCAGGGCAAGGGCAAGGCTATTGTACTCTCGGCATTATTTATAAACATCTCGGCGAATACCAACGAGCAATAGAGTACACCAATAAAGGCATCATCATTGCCAAGGAAGTTGGTGACAGGGGAGAGCAAAGGAAAGCCTATCACAATCTCGGCGCTATTTATCTCCGCCTTGAAGAATTCCAAAGAGCAATGGAGTGCCAGAAGAAACACCTGAGCATTGCCAAAGAAGTCGGTGACAGAGGAGACACAGGACATGCCTATTCAAGCATCGGCGAAGTTCATTATTCCCTCGGCGACGTGCCACGAGCAATGGAGTACTACAAGCAATACCTGAGCATTGCCGAGGAAATCGGTGACGGGAATGGACAAGGACATGCCTATTGCCGCCTCGGAACATGTTATAGAAAACTCCACGACTTGAAGGAAGCAATAGAGTGTTACAAGCAACACCTGAGCATCTCCGAGGAAATCGGTGACAGGAGAGCAGAAGCATGTGCACATAAAGGTCTGGGTCACTCTTTTTTGGAATCACATTCTTTGAACGAGGCTTTAGAACATTTTAGATGCTCTGTTAAAATCTATGACACTATTAGAGCCAATTATATCTCGGAAGATCAATTGAAAATAAATTTCTTTACGGGTCATCGATGTGCCTATACTCATTTATGGCAGGTTTTAGTAATGCTTCAAAGGAATGATGAGGCTTTATACGCTGCTGAGAGGGGACGAGCACAGGCTTTGCTCGATGCCTTAAAAGTAACTTATGGCCTTACATCAATTTCTCCCAGGTCAATTGAAAGTGAAGAAGAAGTCACAATTAATTCAAAGAAGACAACCGTGTTAACAGTTTTTCTTGCCCTGGAAGAGAACACACTCAATATGTGGGTATTGCGAAAAGAGGGCGAGCCTATTTTTAGGCAAGCAGAGTTAGAAATTGGTGATGCACACGAAGATTCTTTTGCTATCCTTTTAGACATTGTTTTGAAAAACATTAGGGCTGGTGTCGGTATTAGGTGCGAAAATCGGTCAATGGATAAGCTGAGTGATGACTCAACTCCCTCAAGTACTCAAGACGACAATCAAACATCGGAGCCATCACAGGGGACCACCGATCTTTTACAGCCATTGTATGATGCAGTTCTTGGTCCCATTGAAGACTTGCTTGATGGTGATGAACTAATTGTAGTTCCTGATGGCGCTTTGTCTAAAGCTCCTTGGGCAGCCCTGAGTGAAACTTTAAGGATCCGGACTGTTCCCTCACTGACAAGTTTGAAAGTCATCACAGATTCTCCAAGTGAATACCACAGTAAAAGTGGAGCCCTGCTAGTTGGAGAGCCATGCTTGAAGAGCATTACAGATAAACAAGGGAACCCCATTTATGATCCTCTGAAGTACGCAAAAATGGAAGTGGAGGTGATTGGAGAAATTGTAAAGAGTCAACCCTTAACAGGTGAAGATGCAACCAAAGAAGCAGTACTTCAGAATATCGGGTCAGTTGCTTTGGTTCACATCGCCGCCCACGGAAGGAAGGAAACTGGAGAAATTGTTTTGGCTCCAGACCCCCGATGGGAATCCAAGACTCGTACGGAGGAGCAATATATTTTGAAAATGTCTGATATACAAGCTGCGAAGCTGAGAGCAAGGCTAGTTGTGCTTAGTTGCTGCCATAGTGGTCAAGGACCGGTCTCGTCTGAGGGTGTGGTCGGTATGGCACGTGCTTTCTTGCTTGCTGGTGCTCGTTCCGTGCTGTCGACACTCTGGGCAATTGATGACGAAGCCACAATGATGTTTATGAAATCTTTCTACCAACAACTTGCAAGAGGAGAAAGTGCAAGTGTTGCTCTTCAGAGGGCCATGAAATGTCTTCGAGAGTCCCACGATTATTCTGCTCCAAAGTACTGGGCTCCTTTTGTTCTGATGGGCGATGACGTTAAGATTGAATTGGAAAAAGAGTCATTGAGCAAGTCGTAAGTGGAGATTTTTTCCTTGCTGTTCTAGTAACAAAAGGCTTTTGAAGAAAAGCTAGAACCATTCTTATCAAATTCTGATAAAAGGAAAATGACAGACTTGATAATAAAAAGAATAAAAATATGTACAAAGTAAGGATGGGTTGGGAGGTAAGTGTTAAATTATTATGGATTCACTCAAGTAAATGCTATTCCTAACGGGCTACTAACACATTTCAAATATCAATTGAACACTAGGCATTGTTTAATGTTTTCAATTGTTAAATAGTTTAGGTCAGGTGTAGATAAAAGATATACATAGGGAATCAGTTTCCTTCGTTTTTCTACAGGACTAGCACGTAGAGAAATTCATAGCTTCAAAACGAACAAATATGTCTAACATGTTAGATGTTTTTCATTTTGCTATTTTTCATATCATCATCCATGGCATCCTAAATTTAACTCTTTGACCTTTATTTTGTTTTGAAATGAAAGATTAATTAATGTATCAATTGTTACTTTCTTTACAGAGATGCGCTGAAAGTTTGATGTCAACACAACTGCTGAAGTAGCATGTATATATCTGGATTTCTCCAAAGAAAGAAGTGCGTTATTTAATAGCTGTCCTCAATGGGGAGTTTGGTAAAAAAGCGTGTTTTCATTTTAGTCATTTTTTGTCAGAAGATATTAAAAAAAGAGATTTATAGTCACGCTAACGGCAAATGGCAAACGTCTACAGATTCAAGTTGAGAATTTCTCAAAATAGAAAATATGCAGATAAAATGAAAACAGCTCAAAGCAATTCTTATGGATAAAACTAACTTGAAACTAACAATTTTTTGTAGATTAATTAACAGCAAACGAGAAAGCTCGAGAAGTAAAGGGAACACTTAGTCACGTGGTACAAATCCACGGTTTGCCGTAAACGTAACTCTAAATCTCTCTAATTAATAACATCAAAAAAAGTTGTAAATCAAAGGGCATACTGTATACTGTGGAGCTCTATATCAGCCACGGCTACACTTATCAATTTTAACTTAGGAAAAAGACAAACAATTTTCGTGGGGAAAGAACTTAACGTTGTTTACAAGTATTTCGTTACTCCCGCGAAACTGACTGAGTAGTAGTATAGATGATTGCCCCTTTTCTCGTGTAACCTACCTTAACCGGCAAATTATAATTTGGCAAAGGAAAATTGCATTGTAATAATCGTAATATTGATGATAATAGTAATCACCATCATCAAAATCTTAATAATTCCTTTTCAGTTTTTTCCCCTCGGCTTTAAAGCAAATGACTGAAACAAATAATTCAAATTAATCTAACGGGGTTAACCCTCGGACGTACACGCAAATTCATACCCCAAACCTGGTATAAGGGGGAGGGGCGGATGGAACCCCTCCCTAGAGTTTTTGATAATTTGCAGTATTTCGAAACCATTTTTCGTGCAGTGGAAAGCTTTTGATCTACTCAACAAGATGAGGTTTATTTTTAATGTGTGGTGGCGCTACTGGAGGCCTGTGACGTCACCAACAATGGTCGCCATCTTGGATTTCGCCAAGAATTAGAAATCAGGTTAAAATCGCGATAAATGATAATTTTCTGTGTTTTATATGTAAAATAACACATAAATAAGCCCTTTGCATCATTTCATTGACAATTTTTACTTTTATTGTTGAAAAAAGTTTAAGAACATGCATTTTCACTCAAAAATAGCTTGACAACCTGCTAGTTATGGATGTCATATGTCGTAACCATAGTAACTGACCATCACTAAACTTATCTCAAATTGAGCGCGAGGGATAAACGAACAGCTACTGAAAACGTCAGGTGCTGATGTTTTATCGTCTAAAAAAAATCAAAAAAACCTCAGGGAAGGGGGCAGCTAACCACTCCTCCTCCCCTTATACGTCCGAGGGTTAAGAATCCCAAGTCTCCCAACGGGACGGTGACGAACCAATTAACTATATACGAGCGTGGCCGTGGGTTCAGTGGAGTGATTCAGATTTAAATCAAATAATTTTAAAATTTAAGAATGCACTGTAAGTATTTTCTGAACCGCGGGTCACAAGTTTCATTGGTTTAAGGTCTGAGTTAAAAGGGTGTATTACGTTTTATGTGACTGATCCCCGGTTTCCCAGAACTAGTATTATTTTTTTAAAAAAATTTATGTCCCCTGTGTCCATGTCTTCTTGATCCTTAATGTATAAATTGGTGGACAGTACAAAATGCAGACTGCAGACTGACTGCAGACCATTCTTTTCAGGGTTAGAAAACAATGGGACTATCAGTGGCTTCATAGCTTAGTTGGTTAGAGCGTAGTACCAGTATCGCGAGGTCACGGGTTCAAATCCCGTTGAAGTCCTGATTTTTTTTGTTTTCAGGCTTCTTACGCAATTGCATAAATTGCGTTCACAACTGCGAGGATCATTCTTCATTTGATTTTATTCCCGCAATTCTCATATATGATTTATTTCATATGCATTTGTCAATGGGACTATTGTTGTCACGTTCTATTTGCATGTTGAAAACAATATTTTGCACTGAGAGCAGTCTGCAGTCTTCATTTTATACTTATGTTATATATTGCGACACACATTGTGTCACTTAATTAAAACTGTTTTTAAATTCAAGTAAAATGGGATTTCAGAGACGAGTTTAACTTATATGGATAAATTATTAGCGTTTCATACAAAGAGTAAAACATTTTGCCTTCCACGTTTGGGAATGAATATGCTCGTAGTTTTAACAGTAAGTTTAGGACGATACGAATAGCCTGCACGGAGACAGGAGCGAGTGACCACTGGCGACTTGGACCTTCTGACAATCATTAGAGTGACTTTTGCCTTATTTTAATAACCCTTTTTTGGGAAAAGCGTTGCCAGATAGTCCTTCCATGCCTGCAAACAAAGGAAAAAGGGCCCGAAATCTAATTTTCAACCGAAAACAAGATTTATTTTCCTTCTCTATTTTCTCACCACCACTTCCTTGTAGAGCTGAATCCGCCTCTCTCTCTGCACTCGTAGACTATTTGTTCTGCCATTAAACTAGGTTTAACTCTTAATCTTGTTTCTTAATTACTGCGAGTCATTTCAATCATAAAAAACGTTTTCGTGTACTGTTGCGTTAGTGGTCCAACAGCTTTAGTTGATGTCGACTTTAAAGTATCCAAACAGTGGAAGAAATTAGATTAAGATTTTGGACGCTCCAATAACTTAATGATGTTTTGTTGTAATTGTGCTAGGTTGTAAAAGTTGGGCTTTTAATCAAATAGATCAGTTCCAGAACACGTATACAGAACGTTCTGAGGTTTGGACCTAGGAAATCACAGCAATCGTTCAAGCTATCATCATTCTATCGAGAATCTGACCAATTTTTACTGCTTCTAGATCGCTTTCCTCTAGGGCATTGACTCTTAGCCATCCCTAAGTTATTTAAAGGAGCTGCTTTAATGTAAGGGATGTCACCATTAGAAAAAAAGGGTAGGATGTTGGCGGAAGGCAAACGCATTAGTAAGAAAAGAATCTCCACACGCACCATGATCAAAAAAGCTGTTCGAGGAGGAAAAATAGATTTCCACCTCAGGTGTAAAGAGAAAACTTTCAAAGACCTCACAAAAATTCAACCCAGCAACTTTACTTTCCTAATGATTCATCCCTTATACCGCCCCATGTAACAGAATCCGGAATCTGGGAAAAAGTTGCATGTGAAATCCGGAATCCTGGGCTTTGGAGTCCGGAGTACAGCTTTAAGAATCCGGACTTCCACTAGCAAGAATTGAGAATCCAAGTTCCACTGACAAAGACTGGAATCGAGTACCTGTAATCTGGAATCCGTGAAGTGGAATCCAGAATCCAAGACTATCTTGGATTGCCTTACATGGGGTGACTTATAGGTCGGCTTGTTGAATTGCTTCTACTTGATGCCAACACGTAGCACGATACAATGTTTAGTTTCTGATGTTACCTTAAGATAAGTAATGCTGTATTAAACCTGAAGAAAACGAGATGTTTACTGTGATTGCTGATCTCTTCGATGCCTTAAACCATTTTAAAACAACTTTTCCTTGAACTGGAGTAGTCAGTATTTGATTAACAAACCACTCCCCCCTCAGAGGCGCCAAACATTTTCGATTCTAGGACGTTTTTTTAAAATTTTAAGGCAAGTTTCTGGTTTTGTCATCATCCAGTTAAGTAAATAGGTCTTCAAGCAAGAAAACCCAACTTTCAAGCAGACGTTTGATGAAAACCATTTGACCTCGTTTCGCCATACAGCGTCATAGGAAGCATAAAGGCACCAAAAACTCATTCCATTATGTTTTCAAAGAGTACCATGGTAGTGACCCACAACCGTCTCACGGGTCTCTTGGCAGCCAAATGACCCAGTAAAACAAAAACGTGTTCAAACCAATTTTCGACATCCAGGGATGTATACCTTTGAAACAGCAAAGGAAACTTTTGTCCATATTTATCAAAACTAGAATTTCATCGTTAATCCAAGCAATCTTGCCACTTTCAATTGAAGCAGCACCGATCTAGAAAGTGGATCGTCTCATATCGGATAGGTTTCTGTGCAACTCTTCGTTGCAGTGTGAACGGGTAACGGGTATTCGAACCGTGGCGTTAATAACAGAGTAGGAGGGAGGACTGGAACCCAGAAAGACGGAAGTAAATATTAAGCGGAAGTAAGGATTGGGAATAATTTTGCCAATCCCTCTCGGCCAACTACTCCAGACTCGTACCCATTCGCTATTTATTTATCCCCGCGCGCCTCAATCTTCTCTCCAATCTCCAATCTTCTCTCATCCCAAAAACACATAAATAGTGAGTGGGTGCGATTGTAGACATTTATGGATGTTCCTCTCCAGACATGGGCAAAGTTAAGTTTAAGTACACACCTGGTCAATCGTGAAGCATGCACTACTGCAAATGTTAATCATATTTCCAAACATGGTCAATAAAATGTTAACCAGTGCCTATATTGAACATCTATTGAATGAGATTTTGTGATAGCTGGAATAATCAA